AACAAGAATCTGGTGGAGTTTGCTAAAAACAATTTGATTTTATTTATTTTATTATGAATATTTTTTCAAAAGTCAGCCGACAGCACGCATACACCTTGAGTCTACCACGCAACCTCGTGTAGACGCGCAATATATTTTTAAGCGTAGATGGCGTGACCGTGCTTTTCTGAAGCACAGATGGCGTGACCGCAGTATCAGACCCGGTAGCCGTGTCGCAGCTGTAAACGCGCCGCAGACGTGTGCAGTGTAAATAAGGGGTAAATAAGAGGTGAAACAGGTGTACATTAACCCATACAATTTGTATTATGCATTTCCTGGACATGTTCTTGCTAACTTATCAAATACTTGAACAGACTACTGATCTATCTGTAAAACACAATCAGAAAGAGCTAAAATTTAAGTTCACAATTTCACGTATACTTAATTTTTAGTAAGCAGGAATAATTTCCGACTTTAAACAAATACCCATTTAAATGCTTAGGATGTTTGCGTTGTAAGACTGTTCAGGGAGACTTTAGATTTAAAGACGGTGTCTCGTTATGCAATGTTTTCTCAGTCAAATCATACAGTTTCCTATTGATTCAATAGAACGCGTGAGCTCACTAGGGAATCACAATATGGCGGCGCGGTGGCTTCACTGTTTATGACGTCATGAGCTATCCAGTCATTCTATATAGATCAGTGGTAGTAAGTCAGTCTGGTCACTGGGAAAGCACTACGGCCTTTGGAACACGAAAAAATACTTTAGGTGAATTACAGTATTATTTTCATAAACATATTTGACAATAGTACGTACAGTATGCGAGTTATTGTGGAAATTTCACCTGTAGTAAGTCAGTCAGGTCACTAGGAAAGCACTACAGTCTTTGAAACACGAAAAGAATACTTTAGGGGAATTACAGTATTTTTTTTAATAAACATTTGATAATTGTATGTACAGTATGGGAGTTATTGTCAAAACTGTACTTTGTTTATGGTTTCAATGTTCTTTTAAAGCAAATCATTCCTCTATAAATACATCCATGAAGTAAAGAGGTTACTGTTTTCAGCCATTACAGTGATAAATACATTTAGATAATGTAATATTTTTTGATGGAAGGTGTGCCATTGAAGAACCCCATAGGAGTTTTGCTAGTTTTTTAAATGTTCACCTGTTAGGGGCGCACAGTCAAAGACCCAGAACCAGATATGATGAATGAAGAGCAGGATATAAATTAAAGAAAAGATTTACTGAAGATAGTTTTTAGTTTCATCAGCAGAAGTCAGCTTCAAGACTGACTCACACAGGAGTTCGTAGGCCACCCTGCTTAGTTACAATACAAAGATCACAGCAGTTATACCATTTCCAAGGGCATTGATTACATCATTGCTTACAGGTTAGCTACTTCTCATTGGCTAAGTTACAGTACACATAAAATCTAAACAATTTTCCACACATATACAGATAAACTGAAGCATATCTCCATCGATTATGCAGCTAAAATTCGGACGGTCACGACGTGCCTAACTTCAGTAGGCACGTCGTGACCGTCCAGGTCTCAGATTTGGGTTGCTGGGCGCCAGCATGTCCCGAACAACACTAAGTCAATCTCCAATAATGCCAGTGGTTTCTTAACCTGTAACCAAGAAGACACACACTGACACAGATTTTTCAAGGTTGGATTTGGCCAGGCTCTAACTATAAACAGGAGAGTATTCCCAAAACATCAGGATTAGGCGTTCTTTCTCTCAAGAAGAGCTACACTTTAGTCTAACTGGAAAGTAAGGCTTTAACTGAGAAAAGTTCCCTTAAACGATAGACTTCAATGACCCCTGTGACTCCCAGATGTATGTATTGACACATGTTGAAGGCCTTTCTTAACAAAACAAAACATCTTTGCATATTTCATTTCTGGAAGCCGGGCTAAATGAGCAAGCACTGTTACTGCATTCAGATATCAAATACAGACATTAGAGAATACATGAAAAGAACAGTTCAGTAATCACACTGGTAACTTCTATAACAAAGTAAAATCTCACAAGTATTAACTCATGTAATATTTAGAAAGAAAACCTTGACTATAATCACTCATTACATATACATTGAAGCAGCAGTTTATTCCAAAATCCACACCCAAAATAAACATCATGTTTGCTGTCATGCTTTCTGAGTACTTGTCAATAATCTGATGGATTCAGCACCACGGACAGTGATATTTCTGCAGGACTGTAAACATCAATCAATGCACATGAATTGTGTTATTGTGACGTGAGAGTTTAATGTTAAACGAAGATGCTATACAACAGGAAAACATAAAAGATAGTTTAGCCATTCTTTTTATTCAACACCTGGAGAACACTGTTACACTGTAAAGTCTTTATTACACTTAAAAACAGAAAAACAGAGGTGGATAAAACAGCAAGACATGGGCTGTAGTATGTTCTGTAGGGTCCAGATAAGACGATCCAACTTGATTTGGAACAGTCGGCCCATGCTTGCAAAACCTATTGAAATAAATCATATGTCATTATTAAAACCAACACCAACACGGTTCTTGTTCTTTTTGATTTTAAATAAATTAATATAAACAGTTGTAAAATGAAACGATTAACTATGGTCAGGAGAGTACACATGATTTTCTACTTTCTACAGTCTGGATTGTTACCAAATTACAGTTCATGTACATGTTCATTAATTCATTTCTTATTTCCTAAACACCTTTTTAAACACCATCATTATAATTCAGTATTTATTGTTGCTAAAGGACATTCTATAGCAGTAGAACACATAATGTTAGAGATATTTGCTGGTACATCTGTAGTTGGCTAAAATGTAGTTGTCTGTTTGCACAATGCACACAATGAAAATAAATTACAACTTTTTAGAAGGTCCCTATCTTGTTCACCACACTACATTGGACATTCAGTGGACATTCGCAAGTAAGTATGCCATTAAAACAACACTTGCTCATTTTTATTGATTGTGGAAAATTTAGTAGTTGACCATCTTTGTTGTCAATATCATGTAGCTGCTTAGAATTTCCAAAAAGTAGCTTTATTGCACACACTATTGAAAAAGTGTTTAAACGCGGAAGTCCGAATATAAGACCAACTTTACCTAAGTTGTAAGAAGATGTTTTGGTAAGTGGGTGTATCACACTGTCTGTTCTGTTCTGCTTTGTTCTCTTTGCAGCCCAGAGGGCACAGCGACCACCATTTGCGGCGCACTGTTTCTTTCACTTCTGTAAGTTATGCTATTGAAAGTGGTTGTTCCTTTTACTGAAATTGTGTAATATTTTGTACTCTTCATAACAAAAATCCTTTTCTAAAAGTCCAAAAATTATTGGTATGAGGCCACTGCTGTTATATATCAGTCTAGAAACTTGTTGACAGCCCTAGAAAATGAATAATCTTAGTTTTTGGTTGTTTAATTGACTGGTTAAAATTCAGGCACAGTCTCAGGGTTCCACCGATCAGCAGCATTGTGGCATACAGTACACTAATGCACCTTGTCTCCTGGCACACAGCCACACAGATTGTAAGCTGCTCTGAGCGGCCAAGAAATGTTGTTGGATTGTAATGCTGAATAATGGATGCAAGACTGGATCTGGTTTATTGCTGGTTGAATAACCCCTTAACAAATCCAAAATCGTTGAAAGAAAATTCAGCTAGACTTATACCTGCTTCCACCATCTTCGATTCAGTTTATGGTGCCTTCGGGATTCTAGAATTTAATCAGATACATTTTTGATTTGTTCTCACTTAGCAGTCCCAAAATCTTAGCGACAACAGCACAAATTTGTTTTAAAAGTAAACTTTTATTAATATCCATAACAGGACATTGTTAAAAGGCACATGTGGCAATACAGAAAATATGTCATGGTGAACAAAAATATCTCACACATTTGCGTTTAACTGCAACATTAAACAAAAACATACAGTAGGGAAAAGAATTAAACTAAATCATTACAAAATTAAAAGAAAATATTATTTTAATCGTTATCATTATCATTACAGTACTCTAGCTGAAAATCATAACTCTAGATAATCACAGCAAAGTATAGAAGTTAAAGAATTGCATAGTAAAAGGCCCCATTTCATCAATCCATTGTCTTCACAATTACTTGATTTGTCAAATTGTCAAAAAAAGAAAGAAAAATAATTACAAAATAGATTGCACAATTCTCTTCAAATTGTAAATAATTCTTAAAACATTTGCATATTCAATACTGAATTTTCTCTTCAGCTATGATTGATTGTAACACAAAATACAGAGAGACACTTAGAGAGCATTTAATACCCCTTAAAATTGTTTCTATTTTGAGTGCTGAAAGAAACAAAAATGAAAAACACAAAAGCTAGTTGAAGATGCTTTTAGTGGTCAGTGACTTCACAGTTGGAGTTGGAGGAGTTAAATATTCATATTTATTCAGCTAAATATTCCTCTCACCTTAACCTGCTGTCATAAATAGCTGCTCTGATCTGCCTTCTCTTCCTGGTGATTGCAAGCCCAACGCAATTGCATAGAAATTAAAGACAACAGCTCTCTGTCCAACAAGTGTGTTACGTACAACACACTGAGCTGTCCAATCAGAGTGCAGTATCGTTCACTGCTGCCGTGGGTCTCACACTCATACATGCAGAATCTACAGAGCCTCACTCGTTATTTCTAATAATTCATGTTAGATTTCAGTTAGTAATCAATCAGTTGTTGGAGAAATACATTAGGGAATATACACAGGCCACTACATTGTCCTTTAATATTGAAAACTATTGAACTAAAAAAAATCAGTTTGTGTTTTATAAAGTGCATAATGCTAAAGATTGTACCAAGACAGCCTTGTTAAAATATTTTTTAAGATCTATAGGCTAAACCTAATCATTCACACAATTTTGTCTCTTAAAAATTATTTTTATCAAAAAGTATGGCATTTAAAAATGTCATTTTCTACAAACTCCTCATTAAATTAGAACTACCCAAATAAAATAAAAATTACTTGGAGAATTCCAAACTAGTGTGTTTGTTAAAATACACAAATCGTTAGTGTAAGTACTTTAACCCTGACCCGTACAAAGAAAGACTTAACAGTTTCTCACATATTTTTTAACACACACACATACACATACTTGGCTCGCAACATATGGCCATTGGAACAGTAGGCTCTAAAACTGCTTCACAAATGCCAAGTTTGAAGTCATATAGAACAAATAAAGTGCGTTTATCTTATGTTGGGGCACATGCATAGTAAAGTAACCCGTTTCACTCTTTCAGCCGTCTGTTTGAACGTTCCTCCATTTAATGGATTTCACGTTGTTTGACTTGACTCCAAAAACCTGAAAAGACACAAAAGAAACAGGAAACGTGTTAAGTGAATTATTTTTTTTGATATTTGAACCATTTCAATTTGAATCAGAATATACATTTGATTATTGAAAATTGTCGGTTTATCTCTTTAGGACTGTTTTTTTTACTTTAAGGTGTTCTGTTATTGGATTTTAATGGGTTTTTTTCTGTTTTGTAGGGTTCATTAAGAAATTAGCAGAAAGCAAACTCCTTAGACTGTTGTGACTCAGCGAGTGCCAGGTTGAGAGATTGAGGTCGAAGTTGACGGTGCCTCTGCTCTTGGTACGACGTGGAACCGAAGCAAAGAGGAGGCATGTGACACAACCTAAGCCCGGAGAACTCCAGAGTTTAGTCGCTCCACGCGGCTCAGACAAGCAACTCGAGGTGTGCAGGTGATTAAGAATGCAAGGAGGCAAGAGCTGATCAAACACCCGCTTTTTTTCTGTATTTATGGGGTGACAATGAATCTATCTTTGTTTGGCTGTCGGAAAATTGGATAAGTGTGAGTGGAAGTTTTGGCATGATGGTCAGGCTGGTACCTTTAAGCCAAATGTTTTGAAAAAAAAAAACGGCGCCTTGGCTTTCATTCTTTCTTTCGTTATTTCCCTCTCTCCCTCCGGTTGTCTTCCCTAAATGAATGCTCATTGGAGTGTTACTGTGTCTCTGTCTCCCTCCTCCTGTCTCGACTGAATAGAAGAGTGAATTGAGCAAACAGTCAGCCTGTCAGCTCAATAGGCAGTCTGACCATGAACTCTGAGTCCTTCCCAGGCACCCAGCATCATCGTCAGGAGGGGGAGGGAGAGACGGAGGGGGGGCAGACAGGGAGGGGGGGCAGACAGACTCAGACTTTGGGGGGCCCCGGTGCCCATTTTTTGGGGGAGCCTCGTCGTGGTGGTTCCCAAGGCTGGTGCCTGCGTGAAGAGGCGAGAGCAGCTGCTCAGAAAAGGGGAGCCTTGTGTGTATGTGTGTGTGCAGACGGGAGAGTGTCTGCCCCTTTGCCCAAACCCCAGCCACCTCGCACGCTCCCAGACGCAAGCTGCCGCAGATTCTTTGCTTCTTTTTTTTATCTGATGTGCTTTGGCTTTGTTTTTACTGTGCATAATTTACTGTGCTGTCCCTCTCAGCCGCTCTTCTCCCTGTTTGCCACCTGTTTACTACGGTGCACTTAGATTACTAAAAACAATGACATGATTGTAGACCCAGTGTGACTGCAATCCTTTAATTCTCTGCTACCGGCATAAAGAGTTTTGTCACTCGTGAACAATAAAATCTTTGTTTTGGAATTAAAAAAATTAAATGACAGATTTAATGTGATAAAAGTGGAAAAGAGGATATTATTGTTTCATTGCTGCTGTCATTTTGCTAGATGGTAGTTTTTGGACGGTTACATTTGTAGTTTGTTGCGGGAAAACTCTTTGTGTAGCTGTTCTGCAAGTTTGATTTGCTCACATTAACATTCATTTCTAGTGGTTGCACTAGATATACACTACTGTTAAACAGTTTGGGGTCAGAAAGAATCTTTAAAAAGAAATTGGTACTTTTATTCCATAAGAATGTTTTGAATTAATAAAAAGGTGACAATAAAGATATGTAAAATGTTACAAAAGATTTCTATTTATATGCTGTTCTTTTGAACTTTCCATTCAGCAAAGAATTCCCCAAAAAATGTATCACAGTTTCCATAAAAATATTACGCAGCACAACGATTTTAAACATTGATATAATAAGAAATGTTTCTTGAGCAGCAAATCAGCATAATAGAATGATTTCTGAAGACTGGAGTCTCCTTGCCATCATAGGAATAAATTACATTTTAAAATATATTCAAATGGTAAAAAAATAGTTATTTTAAATTGTAATAATATTTCATAATATTACAGTTTTTACTGTATTTTTAATCAAATAAATGCAGCCTTGGTAAGCATAAGACACTTCTTTCAAAAAATATTAAAAAATCTTACCGCCCCCAAACTTTTGAACAGTAGTTCATATTTGGCAATAAAAGTTTCTGATGGAGACCTAAACAGGGACTGTAAAAAGTCATTGGAATACAATGCTACATTTGCAAAAAATCATGGAGGTAATAAGTAAATACCATAGTATTGCCATGAAACACCATCACAGTACCACATGGCACCGTGGCAGCACAGTACTTTTCTGTAAGTGTACACAGCTAGCATACACCTTCTCCTCTTAAACCGAGAGACTGAGCTCTGAACATCGCTATTACCACGCTAGTCCTCCACTGTATCTCCTAGCTCTGGCTATTGTCTGGACTTTCAGTGATGGGACCGAACAAAGGCGGCCCTCTGAGAGAATGAAGGACAATGGTCTGTATTGTTTACTTAGCTACCTCACTTAATCAGGCACAGCCGGCTCTAATTGGTGTTTTGGTTAAGCGGTTTTTAAACTTATAGCTTCCTGGCCTTAATAACAGTGCTCCACAGCAAGCTCGCCACAGAGAACAATACTGGATTTGTCTGGCCCGCGACTCTTAGAAACCAAGATGTACAAAAGAGAGCCCGTCCTTATTGAGACCTCTCTATCATGCACCCTCCTTCTACTTCTCGAACTTTGCTCTCTCTTAGCATGTTTTTGCTATTAGTTTGTCTTTAAATATATGCTGAATAATCCAAGGTGTTAGCTAATGGTTTCTATAGTTATGTAAAACTAACAACGGCGATCAATTTTCCTCATTCAAGCTCCTCTCTCATGGGAAAGCTAATATCATGACGACTATGGCTGAAAGCTGGAGAGAAGGCTTGCTGTTCTTCTCAATAATGGCAGCACGCCATCTCCGTGGCTGGCATGGTACGGCGACGGGGCAGCAGAATCCCTGATGGCGATCTATTCAACGTTGATGCCCGCAGATGCAGCTCTGCTTCAGCCATTGTGCCGGGGAATGATTTAATGCAAACGACTACAAAACATCTCCCCACCCCCTTCAGCGCCTATCACAACCAGGACGTGTGATATTCACAATTAACAAACACATCTGCTGTAATGAACAGTGCCTTCGAGCAGGGGGAGAGAGAGAGAGGGACAGCGTGTGTAAAATAGAAGAGGAGAGAGAGAGGAGGGTGTGAGACGCAGGAGAGTGATGGTGGGTCATACCTGCTTATTTTCCACTTCCATTTAATGCCCGCATGTTCTAAGATGGTGGCTTTGTGCAAACTGCATCTCGTGACAGGAGGAAGGGGGCAAGCGAGTAGCGAAGGGGAGGGGAGCAGCAACACCATCAGGACGACAGCCACACAGCCGACCTTCTTCACTCTTTCCATTCCCTGGCATCAAGGATGGCTGGTCTGTGCGAGAATGAAAATGGAAAGATGAAGGAAGAAGGGTATAAATGCATCAGCATGTGAGGGCATAAGCACGATCGGGCATGCGCACACACACGCACACCTTTTCATGTCTGTTCTCATGGTAAAGTCTGCCTTGAGCATGCAAATGACTTTCATTATGCAAATGCATGCAAATCAGACCCAACCATCTGAGAATCAAGGCTGGGAAAAAATCTACACCGAGATATTGAATGAAAGAGACAGAGTTAAGGATAAATCCTTTGGGTGGCAGGAGGCGGCTAACAGAACTAAACGCCGTGTGGAGGAACAAGGGTGTCCCAGAGAGCACAAAAATCGCCGTTTGAGATTATAACACACTCTTTCTTCGTGGTGATTTAGTGTGCGCACAAAACACAAACCTTATTTGAGTATTAAAATGCAGTCTTCACAATATCTATAGCTACTGATCCGTGTCATAGTGCTAAATTAAACGTTAAAAGTCGCTCTATAAGTATGCATGTTGACCACCTGCTGTAGGAGCTCTGAAAGTATAATGGAGAATGAAATGGAAGTCATATACACCACAGGGAATGTTCTAGTCAACAGTGAAACACTCATTGGGCTGGAGGATGAAACACAAGCTCATCGTACATGCCTTGATTAAATAACCAAGTCAGGAGTGGGAAATTAAATTTCTTGCCCACCAGACAAAGACAGAATTTTCCAGCCATTTTTATTATATTTAAAATATAAAATATTTTATATAAGTTTTACATTTTTATATTGAATTTTATACAATTAAAAAAATGGCTATAATATATATTATAATATATATATATATTATTGTATTATTTTATATGAATAATTGTGTGTGTGTGTGTGTGCATATATATATATATTTAATTATGGTTAATTTTGATATATGTTTTTATAATTTATATACAATTTTATTAAAATGTTTTTTTATTATATATATATATATGTATGTATGCTTGTACTTTCTGGTCAGTGGCTGGTAATTTTGCCTTATCTGGCAGCAACTGTTGCAGGTGACCAGTAAGAAAAAATGAATTCTTACAAGTCTCTTGCCACAGTGGCTGCCAGATAAGGCACAATTACCAGCCACTGACCAAAAAGTACCAGCATTACTATTACAAGTACCAGCTATAAAATCCTATCTGACAGGTTCATATTGAGGCAGATCTGCGGAGGGATGGACTATGAATCCCTGTTAATCATCTCAGAAGCTGAGGGAGTCTTTATTATCTGATGGATGGTCCCACATTGGGAAACGTCGCAGCGTGGCGGGCTAGTCTTTTCTTAGGTAGTTTCTTTCATTTCTCTGAGCTAGCTGAGGTAGAGGTGGTCTTTGTTTTCAGGTGCCGTTAGCCAGGCCGGAGTGTGAGAGAGTTGGCTGAGGGGTAAATAAAGAGTGGGATTGGAGGGGTTGGGTCCTGCTGAAAGCCAGCAAACCTTCTCTAATTGGCACTTGACATTTTTTTTTAGCTGTGGCTGGATAAAGTGGACCCTCTTTCAAGACCACTCCAAACACTTGCTGGAAAAGTGCCTTATGCAAATACTACAAATAGGAACCATTGTCAGACGTCTGACACTAACAGCTGAGGTAACAATATGACTGTGGGCATGTAGGTGTGTTGAAGAGAGCACAGGACAATGTGGCAGAGAGTGGACAACATGTGAAAAGCCATCCAAATGATGCTTCAGTGGGGGAAAAAAAAGTAATTTCACCAGAGCGAGTACTAGTTCGCCATGCCAAGCTTTTAAAAGAATGGCCCATTAAACTTGGACAATCAAGCAAATGTATGATTTTACAACATCTAAATATTTGTTTTCTTTAACTGCTCCTCCAATAACATTTCTTAAAACTATGAGTGTAAATAATTCAAATGGCAGCATTCAATATTATTGTCATGTTCACATTCAGCTATTTTCAGAGACACAGTCTAAACACAAACCCATTGTGCAATTACCCATTCATTCCTTTAGACTACATTTAAATGTCTAAACGAGAACGGTGTGGTCTTCTTGTCGCCATACAGCATGTGTGATGAATCAGCCTTTCATGTAGTCAGGACAACGTTTGGCTACACCTGTTACTGCTGAGTGTTTAATCCCTTTTGTGTGTGTGGGCCCATTGACTTCTCTAACAGCCTAAAGGGAATTCACAGTTCTTTGGGGCGACGTCAGGGTGGGAGGGGGTCAGAGAGAACGGTGTCTATTCCTCAGTTTCCTCTCCAACAGTGCAGCCATTTTGGGGCTCGGTTGGTGAGTTCCGTCCAAAGAAAGAGAAGCATTGCCGGGGGCAGGAATCAGAGCGACGCTCACCAAAAGCGGCCTGGCTGATGTGACTGGGACGCTGTCAAAAGGTTGGTAAAGGAATCCATTGTCTCTGTGACAAGTGGCCTGGCTCTATTGACCATACAGTTGACGGGAGAGGGGAGGAGGGTGGTAATAATAAGGGCACAATGCCTGTTTTTCTAGTTGACACTTGATGTCCGAAATGCTAAGTGCAAGAAAACTGCCATTCGTGCTTTTCCTTCCTGTTCCTCTGTTCCCTTCTCTCCAGACAGTTTGATTAGACTGCCAATCTTTATTCCTCACAGGCCGTGACGTATCCAACCTAAATGCCTTCCTACCTTTATGCTAAATAGTCATGGTATGCTAACCATTCAAGTAAGTTGCCAAGAAGAATCACATCAATATTATTAACATACACCTAAAAGATGTACTTGTAGATCTTTCTTTTATACCACTTTTAAGGACATTTTATAATTGAATGTCATTTATAGTTTACTGTACAGGCCAAAATGGACAGTTCACTGCTAGATTGGTGTAAAGGATGCAACAAGAGAAATGGATAATGATGGAGTGATGCAAATCAAGACAATGATTGATCAGATTTGCTGCATAGGTAAGTGCGCTATATGAATTGCTGTTTAGGTATTTTTGACAATAAAGTTGTTAATACTGTTAAGGACAAATCAAATTAAGAGTTTGTCACATGTTATTGCTGGGAAACTACACTGTAAAAAATTATTTACATACAATTTATCACAACATTTTTTTCTTTTATCAAATCAACTTAGATAATTTATGTGGTTCAGATAACATTATTTTGAGTTTTAAAGATTAAACCAATCTCCATTGTATCAACTACATTTTTTAATTTCAATGAACTTAAAAATTAAGGCAACCAGGTCTTTTAAGTTAAACCAACAATATTTTTTACAGTGTATGAGCTTCGTAAAGTTCTGTCCATATGCGTATGTGGAATTCGTGGAATTGTGAAATGCGACAATCGTATGCGAATGGCAGCTTTTGTCAGTAGCTTCAATAAACTCAGTTTGCTCAGTAGAAACTGGTTTGAAATATTTTGTCATTGGAGGACACTATCTAGCCAATGCTATTATAACCGCTTGTAGTACACACTTGATCAATTTGGCTCAAACTCACTTATCAGTTCTCAGTGCGTTTAGACTCTTTGTCTTTTGCTCTCAAAGATGAACAGTTTAATCCTTGCACCTGCAATGCAGCAGCACTGTCTGTGGCTACAACACAGACAGAATGACAGCGCCTCACCAGATAGATTCACTGTCATTTACAGCATCTAAAATGTACCTATTACTAAATAGCATTGCTAAATCAGACTTTTGAAGCCTCAGTGATCTATTAATTCCAAATGAGAAATTAAATTACTATAACATACCCAAAGGTGCGATGATCTGGTGGCTGATGTCCACCTATTGATCACAAGCCTAATGAAGGGGAATTATGGTATTGGCTTCCTAATGGCTTTTGCCAACAAAATCTGTTAAGATTCAGCTGCCGAACCCACAGACCTGTATTCAGGACCATCCCAACAAGCTTTGCTACTTAGAGAATGTCCATGCCGGCGCTGGCTCTATCCCACCCCCATTTATAACACTGTCACATCCAATCAAGAACTTCTCAGCACAAAATTCAAGTTCAGACAATCAACGTTTGTTTCCAGCGCTGGCTCAAGGTCCGAATACATCCAAAGCTTAGAATAGCAGCCAGATTTGCGTGGGAAAGCTTTAGCCCGTTAATTATTCAAAAGCAGGAGTTGAATTCGAGCGAGTCCGGGTTGGTATTGAAAAAGACAATGGGGTCTCAACTCACCGACCTTGTTAAACAAAGGTAACGAGTGAATGAGCTTTGTGCGTTTGCTGCAGACTAATACTTCAGAAAGCACCGGACTGGGTGTTAGTACAGGCACCCGTGGGTGATCATCATGTGGCCTTGTGTTAAGCCTCGGCCTGCTGCTCTGTGCTCTAGACTAGCAGTTTACAGATTAAACGTGATCATGTTTGACCAACATACTGCTGCTCCGCATATTCGCATAAACCATGTTCAATCCATACAAATAGTTTTTGTATATTGGTAAACATGTTTCACATTATCATTCTACAAAAAAAACACCAAAAAAACTACATTTAATCAGTGGAATCCTGCTGGTATTTGTTCAGAATTACATTCATTCTGTGCATTATTTGTAATGAAAGTTGTGTACTTTTCCTGTACTTCTGAATTTTTCCCTCCTTTCTGTGTAGCTGAATCGAATATCCCATTTATTTGTGTAATACTAGTCAGATCTAGTCCTTGAGTAATGCATTTTATATATAAAAAAAACATTGCAGTTGAGTTTGAAAATTTCACACCTGCTCTTTTGAATTGTTTTCTCTCCTTTTCATGCAAATAAGTATGACAAATATGAACAAACTCCATAACAGGCTTCTTTAAAACAATTGATAGCTTTTTACAATGGTATTAGCCCTATCCCAGAGTGGAAACACTATTTTTTACATCCATTATAAGGAGGGTAATGAGAATAGTTGGGCATTACGAGGAAAGATGATGCTGCATAATACTTAATATGAGAATAGGGTACAATCACTGCTTGTTTTTTTAACAAAAAATAACTGACAAAAAATGCTGCTTACCTTCTCTATCAGCAGTGATGGAGGCCATTTTGTGGCTTTCTCTTGCAATAAGATGCAGAGATTGAGGAGGAGAGAGGGGGAGACATAGGAAGGAAAAGAGGAGAGGGACAGAGTACAGATCTCATGGTGGGGTGATGCCTTTCAGGTGTGTAATGGGATTCTTGTTACTTTCGGTTATCTAGCTTTATGAAGAATGAATAACACTCATACAGCTAGATAACCAAAGATAACAGCCAACCCCTCCGGCCACCCGTCCTCTTCCACCATATGAAAAACCCAGCTGGGGTTGAACTGGGACCTGAAAAGAGAAGATCTTTTATTAACTTTCTAATTAGGACGTGATTGAAGCCAACTGTATTTAGTTAAACGCTAGCTTTAATTAAACCTGATGTGTTTAACGCAAGTCATTCGTTAATGATCATGACTGTGCTTGGATGACTTGTTGCTTTTAGAACTACTAGTTATTCGTCAAGCATCTCCTTTTAAAGCTGACTGGTTAAAACCTGCCTAAATAAACTTGGCTATGATTTCACCAGTCTGTTGAACCAGTTTGAACTTGTTTTTAGAAATGCAAGGGGTTCATTCACTGCTTGTTTTCTCTGTCTTACATTGCAGGCTGATCATTCTCCCTGGGTGATAGATGGCTTCAAACGCATCCCGCAAAGGCTGGGATTTCTTTTTAAATGGGAAAAAAGACCCTGACTGTGCAGACGGAGAAAAAAAAGTAAAAAGAATAGTAACACTGGTTGTTTTAGTTTTCGGCAAATTTACCCTCAAGTTGCTGTTGTTTGTGTTTCAAAAACCTGTCTTTCAGCGCTAAGTGGCAGAATCATGAGGTCTTTCTCTCTCAGCCTCTCTTCTCTCTCGACTCTCAGTCAATCTGATTTTATGCAAATAAAAGAGGAGCTGGTCCAATTAAAAGCCTTTGTGTGAGAGGAGCCCCTCCCCATACACTCTCAGAGGTGTTGCAATCAAAGAGCAGAGAGAGAGAGAGGGAGAGAGTGTCATTACTTATTACAGCCTTTCAAGCCTAGTGAAAATGGCGACACAGGGGCGAGTTCAAACACTTTTATTTACTCTACACACAGCTCATCATCTAATTATTTTACTAACAGCACCAGCACATTGTTAACAGGACAAAATGTCCTCAGCCAACAAGCCTTTTGACTGTAAATTAGAATACTAGAAGCTTCCCTGTAAATGAACAGTTGGCACACACAAACATGCTTATGTGATACAGGTATGACACATGCATGTTCTGAGCCAAAGGAAAATAAATGCTTTCAATATAATAATAATAATAGGCTAATAATTGATTATCTCACCACCAGCATCCCAGTAATTAAATACAATAATAATAATAATAATTGTTGTTATTATTATTGTTTTTGTTTTTATTGTTAATGTAATAGTGGTGGTGAGATAATCACAATGCTTGTATTCACATCCCATTTCGCTTCAAGTCTCAGGTTGTCTGTTTCTTGTGCTGAGCAAATATCAATTGGTGCCAATAATTAACTAAAATATATAATATATAACCAAAAACTATACTGGACAGATTAGTAATTAGCTTAATAAAGTGATAGGCCTATTAAAATCTAACCTATAACAACGCAGAGATACAGTGATTAGCAGCATTTGTGTGACTCGGTGAAGCGATTATAGGCTATACAAATGACTTATTTTGTGCTCTGTTTAATCTTAATCATTCGAATCAAACTGATCCAAAATATATGCATAATTACAAATATTATTAGGCCTATAAAATATAAATAATTATAGGTTTATAATTCCCTATTCCCAAAGTTTTTCGTTAATGTCTGATTCCCAATATTATCGACGTATCTTGCATTAAATTGTTGATAACGAGAGTAATTATAATGTAAACAACTGCAGAGGCGACATCATAAATTTTACCCTAAATTGCGTGCTTGTTTCTCTGTGCCCATTTGCGTCTTTATATAGACCTATGTTTTATTTTAATTTATTGTAAGGATTGTCCTTGTGTGAAAGTCGTGCAAATGCAACATGGTTAATGCAATTATTTTTATTAGGCTACCAGATTATGCTACCATTTACTGAAAACCATATGAACGTGAATTATAAGTCATTTAAATACGAATAAGAAACGGAAACGTGGGTTATTCGTGTTGTGGAAAATGCTATAGTCCTAGGCTACATAGTAGGTAGGCTACTAAGTGGTTTTGACGAAACTTCTCAATTATAATGTTTGCATGTTACACTAAATATTCTTGTCATATATAGCCTACATTTATTGGGGAAATTGCTTTAAATGATATGAAATGATAAGCGTATTGTCAAGTAAACTGGTCGTTATTATTTCCATGGCTTTAGTTTTCACCTATTAATATCGATGACGCACTAGTTTAACTATGAGATAAAAAAAAAAAAACTAAAAATCGAAATATTCTGTTACTAAATTTAAACATGTATAATAGCTAAAAGGTTTTGGTGTTGTCCTCTTTCAATCGCAATACAATGCTCTCTCACACACTAGCCTAAATTAATTAATTTAACTGATTGTGTGTGTGTGTGTGTGTGTGTGTGTGTGTGTGTGTGTGTGTGTAGCCTTATGTGTGTATAGCCCATACAATAGTAAAAATAGGCCTATTAAAATGAGAATATTTTTTATAGTTGTAGCTACCTGTGTATAGTGTCCTGTGTACCTCGTGCAAAATTTCAATTGACGTCCTATGGGGGGGTGGAAGAAGCAAAGAGAACAACGTGAGAAAACCTAAGTCGGATTTTCCCCCCTGCCTTTATAAATAGTGAGTGCTATGGCTGTGAACATGACTTTCTCGCTGTGTATAGAATGTTTGGTGTAATATAGCTAGCCTAGTCGAGTAACATATGTGAGGTAGACCACACCTTAACGTCCGCGATTGTGATTTTTAAACGACCCAGATAGGCTAAAACCCAACAATAACTTTTAAAGTAGACTATCACAAGATTCATAATGTCCTCCACATGTAGGCTGCTTAAGACTCCTGCCATCTTACTGCATTAATGAACATGCTATATAATCGCAAGAGAAATGATGAGATTTGTCACACAACGGTCGCACAATCCATAAGGTTTCAATTCAATCATGAGAGACTTTGGTCATCCTTCGGTCAGTTGTCACAATCTGATTGTTAAATAATATTTAGTAATGTTGTGGGGTGGGGGTGGGGGCATGTAGCATATACATAGCCTACCAACATACATGTCTCTATTATGTCTAATATTTTATAAACCTATAAAATTAGAATTTTTAATAAATTATAACGTGCCTTGTGTTCATGGGTATGAATAAAACGCGCATGAAAGAGGCACGTGGAGAGTAGATATTGGCCTTGTGATTAATCTGAACGCTGGCCATCAGGATTAAACACGTCATGCGCACAGGCCTCCATCTCATAAACACCAAACAAGTTACAATCATTCGTGCCCAGCTTTTAGAAACAATTCTTGAGTATATTTTCTATTGATACTTGTTCTGTATATAAACGCTCTTCCCATCATGTGGTTTGAATGACCCAGAAATATTTCTGTTATTCTCGTTTTATTCTGTGGCTTAAAGATAAAAGAAGATTCAGTAAAAACTCATAAAATAAACCACGAGCTTTTCCGCACTGACTGTTTATCAAAAACTGATAAATATTCCCATTGAAAGCTTTTAATTTAGACATAAAGCACACTGCTGTAACTCTAAATTCTCATTTAAAATAACTTTCACGTTATCATTTACAGATTGGCAAATTGGCAAAACAAATAAAGCCCTATCAAAATATTGACTTGTTATAATTGCCAATAATTTACAAATTAGAGAATGGGGTTCCATATATTAGGCTATACTTATGAGTTGAGTCTTCTGAAAGAATCCGTAGCCTATAATTTAAATTTTCTTACATTTAAACCAACTATTGGCTTCTTTTTATGAAAAATGCGATGACTATCGATATGATAAGCTACAACTGACTATTTCACGTTAATATCGTCCAAAGAGGATGCACGCGCCTCTGATCACCTCTAACAGCAGCGTGTCTCGCGCGCCAAACCCTAGGACCGCTACACGCGCAACCTGTTCTGGGACTTAATCCTGGCAATTCTCGCTTCACCTTTAAAACACGATTGCAGAATTCTTGCCGTTTTATGAATGCAGTCTACAATACAAACGTAAATATTAGCGTATACTCACTCCTATCCACGAGCATCGATGGTCTTCAGGATGGATAGCAATGATAGCCTATATGTGCGCGTGCGAGCTGCGTGCGCTCCAGAATGTTGTCTAGCGCTTCGGTCCTCCGCTTCATGGCTGCGGCTCCGCGTGACGTTGCAGTGGCCCCATCCATTCAGCGTGTCCGTATCGGGCTGCACGCAGTCTTTTCACCAATATTTCCCATTGAGATGCTCCTCTTCTCCCCTACGGAGAGTGGAATGAGCTGCTCGTTGTCCCCCCTCTTATCATTCCGCTTATTAAACGCTTGTGGGCCTCAACCTGCAAGCCAAAAAACATATAGCATATTTTAAGCCCTCCCCTTATGACACGTTGCGGTTAGAATTTGTCCCCACCCTCTTGAATTAGCAATGCAATACTGCTTAAATGTTCGGAGAAGCATTATAATTTGCGTTTTTTTTTTGTTAACAAAATAGTAAGTTCTTTCTATAGACCTAGTAAACGTGTCCTTGAAAATATAGGAGGAAAAAAAACAGTTAATCTATAATATAATTAGACATACGCTCGGTTTTATTTACTCATGTTTAATACATAAGAATATTTGCTGTGCTAAAGGTAGTCAATGCAATATGCATAGAGTTTATATCTGAGCCTCAGGAAGGCCTTGATTTTTGTGGTGCAGTAATGAAATAAGTGCCTTTTGTAGGGGAACTAAGAACACTGACTTAGAGACTCCTTTAACTGTAACCCACAGTTTAAATCAAGTGGACTCGCTCCCAGCAACCCTTTGTTTTTGCCTTTTTCTCTATAAGTGTCTAGGAATGTGACCGCTGAATCGACAGGGTGAAACCGTGCAAATCAGCTTTAACCGTCAGGACCGAGAGTAGACCCCAGACAAGGAGACAGAAAGGGGTCTCAGTCTGTTGATTATCATAAGAATCAGATCGCTGGGGATAAAAATCTCCTTTGAATAAATTACTGGTTCAATAGGAGGCGCGACTGCCAAATAGACAACTCTGTCAGAGGCCGCATGTCTTGGTTTTCAATCAGTCGTCTGACTTCCCTTTTCTAAAAGCTCAGACTATTAATGCATTCCATTTTTCTGTCTCAAATTCCATCGCTTGTTGTCCTTTCTCCAAATCTGGATACCACGCGAAAGCCGCTGTTACCAGTGCGCCGGGGACATGCAGGCCTCGAACCCGTCGAGAAGTAATGAGTTCGAGGTAATGCGCCAAGGCATCGTGTCCGCCAGAGATGCTGAGAGAATCAGACTGACACTGCTCGGTGATGGCACGTCCCAGGGCCATTATCAATTATCGACCAACAGCATGTTTCTACTAGTCCGTTGCTTTAACACATCTAGTCATTTCCGGAGGGATTCTCCAACACGTTTTATTACTAGGATCTCTTAAATATATATATTTTTAAAGAAATAATTTAGCATTTTATGCTGTTCCACTTTTAGACTTCAGGCATTCCGAAAGTGTTCCTAGGCGCCACGCACTGCTGTTGAACCTGTAAATTCGAGGACGGAAAGTTCCGAAGCTCCAACTTAGATTTTGTTTCTCCTGCCAGTGAATAAATAGCAATAGTTCGTCCATCATATAGGCCCTAGCTTAGCCTAAACGTAAATGTGTATTTCATTTTTAAAAATAAAGGTTCCAAGAGGGAGTTTGCCAGCGATGCCAATCATTTTGGGTTTCCCAAAGAACAGTTAACAGTTCAGAAACCACTTTTTCTTTATAAAACAGTGTTATGACGTTTTGAAGTAGGCCTGTTTGCGGTAGGCTATTATGTGCCCACGTGTGCGTGTGTGCTTGACAAGCGGCCAGGGCGAAATTACTTGTATGATTTTCATAAACCGCCAGCGTGCATGCGCTCCAGATAGTCAGGCTGTTGAGATTTATTCCTAATAAGAACACGTGTTTCCAAGGAGGCGTTTGACCAACTCAGGAACACGATTTTCGGCCACGAAAGTGTGCTAAGGCGATTATGTGCAGTAAAACTCATGACAAGGATTGCAAATGCATGGGCTGATCTATTCTGGTCTTTTCACATCTAGCCTCTACAGTGAAACGTGAGCTCGGACATCAGGGGAGACGCACAGTAGCCTATAGTCTATCGCTATGCCTGTGAATGACTCTATTGAAAAATCTGATGTTTTCTCTTGAAATTGTGTCCATACACTCGACAAAGATCCGTAAACTACGCATGGTGTTTGTGAAACTCGGGTGTTTATTTCAAATTGATTTCAAATTGAAAAGTTCGATTAAGCCAGCAGAGAGAAGATAATTTTGAAAATAATAATTTAATTTGAAAATAATAAATACAATGATAAAGAAATAAATAGGCAATACAATATCGTACTTCTGTAAAATCTCAAACCTAATCATTATAATTACATTTTCATCAGGTGGTCTGTCCTTTTTTTCTCCAAATAACCATCCATCAGTGCATCCTATTCTTAGTATGCAATAGACTTTGGCTGGTTCTGCTGATTCTTAATATCAGGTGCCAGTTTTTGTCACGTGGTGAATTCAACATTATGATCAAACAATTCTCAAATTTATATGCAAACACATTACATATGCATTATTGCAGGATAGAGTGGCAGTAGGCTATATATAGCTTGTTCACACACGTGAATAAATGATTGTGTGTGTGAGGGGGAAGAGGGAGAATGTTGAAAGACCAGCTAAATTCAAAATCAGCCTGTCTGTGAGCTGCTGTAGGCTTTACTTGTAAGGTTTTGAATTGGGACGCTGGACGGTTCAGAATCCGATACGTGATTGGCAACTCAAACATCATCTTTTGTTCCCCTAAATCCAACTGAGTTACTACTAAGTAGAAGTACTCACACCTTGCATGGTCTGAATGTCCATTTATCACAATTGCAAATTGTGGAAATGTTTCCGTACTGGCATATTATCAATATGTATAAGCAATTGTTTCTTTAAGGGAAAGATCTGAACGTCTCAGACATTGTCTGTTTTTTTTTTTTAAATCCACATCTCCATTTAGTAGTTGTAGCCTATACTTAAACACGAACAAGTTTTACCCCCAGGATACCCTCCCTACTGAAAACCGTAAGAGCTGTTTTCTCACAGACAAATCCCTAAGCCTGGTCTAAGTGAAAAACAAAAATGGCGTTCTGACATCTCCCACGCACCGCCTGACAGGGTTTGCAATTAACCCTCATTTGCATATGCAAATGACCTGGAAATTCGCTTTGACTACAAAATGGGGTTGAGTGAAGCAGCAGACTACTCGGAGATAAAATGCACAACTTTATGCCATATATTGTAATCGGCTTCAAATGAGAATATTTATTTGATGCCTGTAATTAACGGAAAGGCAGAGTCCATCATGAGATTTCACTCAGTAGTAGGCCTATTAGCCTTCTCGTTATCATTCATTAATGCCGTTGTTCTTGGCGCCGGTTGCAGCTTTATGTCCTCACAACCACATTTAGGTGTTCTGTCTGTAATAGTTAACTCTTTATCAGCTATTTTCAGTGGTTGAAGCTTATGGGCTTCTTCATACTCCTCTGTAAGTGCAAGACTTTTATTCAGCACGTACTAGGCTATTTGAAACAATGAATGAGCATCTTGCGCCTCAGCAGCGATTTGTTGGGCAGATGTCGACTAATGCTAAATTAATTGCTTAATCAATGCGTTTATGAGTAAGTTTTTCTACTATAGAGACCACGATTTGTCTACATTGACAAAATTGTTAACTTTTTTGGTGGCAGGTTTTCCTTAAAAACTTAGCCAAATGTTATATGCTATTGGTTAATACAGTTGTACAAATATTATATTTTGTATTTATTTTTAACTATTACTTTTTTAGTTTAACATGCTGTTTTACCAAGCTTCATAAGACATTAGTCAGTATTGTATATCGAACAGCTCGTATTTAGAATTGAATGCAGCGTAGGCTAATAATTCGTCAAAAGAACAAATAAACACTGCATTTATTTAATCAATCAAACCTATACACAAACCTGATGTCGTGAAATTATTCCCGTGTAATAATGTGGAAAAGGAGTGTCTTCTTGGTGAGAGAAATTCCAACAGTCTTTACGTGTGACTTCTGCCATTACGGTTATGAATCTGTCATATTCAAAACGGCAGTTTACTTTTAAGAATTTCGTTTATTTAGATTATCAGTTAACGAAATATGTTTTGCATTTAACGAAATGATTAAAGTAGCCTAAATCCAGATTGGATCATCTGACCGCTGAACCCGTGCCAACTTTTAAAGCCTCTTTGTTGGCCTGTGCTAGCCTATGTGGGTGTATTTGTGTATGTTTTATTGTTTTACCGAGGTTATTATTTCCAAGCAATATAGAGAAAAATAAAGATATAAGATTTTGCGATTAAATGTCGCTTTCTCTTTCAGTGAAATTGATATAGACATTTTTTTTTTTTTTTTTACAAGCAATAAATCTTTGGTTTTGTTTTTGCAAAAGTGCTTATTTATTGTAGGCTTCTATCAATAAATCAAACATTATTTCTGTCATAATAATTATTGTGACGTGAATCACCTGTACTATGGATCCTCCAGGTTTAAAGCAGGATGAACACTAAATACTTGGGGTCAGATTTGAGGGCTAGTCTTATCAGCCCCTTCGATTTTCGTGTCCCATTTATTATAGAGTTATTGTATTTACAATAATTTGAGCAATCTTCTTCCCAGAAAACGGACAATGGATGGACGTCGATGGAAAACTTCCACCCTGACAATTTCTAGATTTAAAAAGAAAGGGGAAAGGAAAATAGTTAACTCGGTGAATTGTTTGACTGATCCTTCTCTTTTATGGGATAAAGGGAAAGACTGAAAGAGGAAAAAGAGATGTCATTTGATGCAGGGGCCAACAGGGGTGATTCTCTTTCTCGTTGAACTACAGGCATCTAAAATATCAGCATGGTTCCCTTGTAGTGTGTAAAATAAGTGTAAGATTGAATCAGAAGGACCTGGGTCAGGCTACATATTTAAATTCTCTTCACCCGCTCCTATTCATAATTTGTTCTCAT